AAAGTTTCGATAAATCTCTTTTGGAAAAAAATTCGACGTTCCCCACGAGGACGAAGACCGAGTTATTATAAATTAATACACAAGATTCTCTTTCAGCTTTAATTGCAGATATTAAACAGATATATCGATCATAACTGTAGCTTCAGTTCTGGAGCTGTGCCAGCTGATGAGACAAGGCGACGATCATGAAAATGACGTGATTTGTGTGTTACACTGTGTAAAAGCTGGACACATGACAAATGGTATTAGCAAAAAGAAGATCACAGACAAAAATCAAAAGGTTCTGCTCACCTGAAAGGACGTGACAGCGAGCTGACTAAGTCCGTCGACGTACGGTCCCAGGACATTGTGCTCCCTGACCTTCAGCGACTGTTTGTTCGGCTTCGGGTCGAGCAGATCGTGCACCTTCTCGTTGTAGATCTCCATGTACGAGACTTCGACTTTGTAGGTGAGCTCCGAGCTCTGTTGTTTCGCGATCATGTCGAAGAGGTTGTCGCACAGCCGTGGTATAATACCTTTGTTCTCGCCGCTTCCCATCATCGTGTACGATTTCCCGGACCCTTTTGAAAGAAAAAAAAAAGGAATTCGTCCTCCAATTAACTTCGACTCGTTACTGTCAACAGCAACAGCAGCTAATGGTAGCATTAAGAAAGAGTTTTTATTACAATGAAACTTCTCGTTGTGTAAATGTTTCACTGTTCGAATAATTTCCTGGTAACATTCTGACAAGGGCCTAGAATGATTTTTTTCTTTAAACAGATTTTAATCTTTAAGATAAGGATCTAACCTAAAACTTAACTTAACTGAAATTAACCTAACGTAGAACCTAACTTAACTGAAATTAACCTAACCTAAAACCTAACTGAAATTAACTTAACCTAACACTTAACTTAATTGAAATTAACCTAACCTAACCTAACTAAAAATCTAACCTAAAACCTAACCTTTTTAAGAGCCAGCCTTCGAATTGCAGTAGATTAAGAAAGATTTTTTATTACAACAATTTCTCGTAAATATTCCACAACACTTGTTAAATTTCCTCAACACTTTGACAAACACTAAATTACTAGACTATGAGACGTTAGAAGTGTTCTTTTTAAACAAACGTTCAATATTTCCTTTCAAACAAAAATCTAACCTCAAATTTTTAAGAGAGCGTACCTCTTATATTTTCCCGAATTGTAGTCGATTGAAGAAAGATTTTTTATTACAATAACTCCTCATCGTATAAATTATTTCACTGTTCGAATCTTTTCCTGGTAACATTTTGACAAGGGCCTAGAATAATTTTTTCTTTAAAGATTTTAATCTTTAAGATAAGGATCTAACCTAAAACTTGACTTAACTGAAATTAACCTAACCTAGAATCTAACTTAACTGACAAGGGCTTAGAATGATCTTTTCTTTAAACAGATTTTAATCTTTAAGATAAGAATCTAACCTAAAACTCGACTTAACCGAAATTAACCTAACCTAATTAAAAATCTAACCTAAAACCTAACCTTTTTAAGAGCCAGCCTTCTTTTTAAGAGCCAAGATTTTTTATTACAATAATTTCTCATCGTATAAATATTCCACTGTCGAATAGAAAATATAGAGAAAGCTAGTCTTGATGGCTAAAATATATTTTTGTGTACTCCAAAATACGTCAATCGAAAGAGCTGAAAACTGGTACGATTTATCGAACTGATTAACGCTCTTAGATTCGTTATCAGCGTAAGATTGATTGAGTCTTAATTCAGTTACTGCATTAGACTAGGTTAGGTTAGGTTAAGGGCCCTGTCGTATCATAGTCGGGACGTAGCGAAATTTAAAACAGTGTAAATGATTGTCAATACTATTGAGGCTTGGGAACAAAGCTAAAAGTAAAACAAAAAGAACACGTGTATTACACAGAGATGGTCAAACTGACTCTAAAAAATAACTACTCTCTGATCATACTTCACATTTGCCTGTTTTCAACGACTTTTAGACACTCGGGATAAACGAAGTGGATTAGACAAATTACATCTTGGTGGATGCAGTTGTTTTACTTTTATTCTGGCAAGAGAAGAAACAACCCCTAAGGGTTGACGTCTCAGTCCAACGAGTTATGGAAATTGAGTAATTAAGCGAGGATAATTGATATATCTAGACTTTGTCACGATCGAGTGAAGGATAAATTACCAACGTTATACAAAGTGATTTATAATATTCTAAATATTATAAAAATTCGTTGAGCTTAACTATCGATCAGAAATCAATCGTGCAACTTTTAAATCTCCTCGGAGCTCTACGGCTGTTGAAGAAACCCCTAAGACTGCGACGATCAACAGCGAATCATCCACCGACAGATTTAACCCCCAATTGACACCATTGTTTCCTTAACAGGTTTATCTATCTACAACTTCTCGCTTGCAAGACAAGTGCAAGACAAGTTATTCCATCGAAGCTGTAAGGCGCTTGAGAGGATGAGGCCAGAAGGGAGATTAAATCCGATTGATCGATGACAAACGAGCAGCTAAGTGAAAGAAGACGCAAGAGCCTTTAGAAGTGCATAATCTTGTTCCATCTTCTTTTTAACACCCTTTCGGTTCCGAGACCAGAGAGACTGGGGATCGTGTGCTCACGCGAGGGTCAATGTCTCTCCCTCTTTTGACTCGCTGCCATCGCACATTTGGCGCAAAAGCCATGTTCTCACGCGAAATATTAAAGAAATATATTCCTGTGTTTTTAAAGTGATTTAAAATACGAATCCCTCGCTGTAACGTTCCTTCCAGCAGTTCAATT